GTCTAAGGCACTTGACTGCTAACCAGAAGGCTGGCGGTTCAAACCCACCAGCCACTCCTCGGAAGGAAGATGGGGCAATCTACTTCCGTAGTGATACTACCTCGGAAACCCAAGGAGGGGTCGCTATGAGTCGGGTCCGACTCAACGGCACATAACAACAACAACAACAATACTTGGCTTTAACAATTTCCTCGTTTTTTATTTGTTCTATATTTATTCTGGTACAATATTGTTTTAATATCATGGCTTCACAATACTTTTTACCTATCAGCATAAATTCCTCAAATTATCATTCTGGAATATTTCAGTGTTATTCTACTTTAGAGGTGAGGTCAGAGTGTTATTGTAAAGTGAAGTTGCAGTAACACAATTTAGGGAAGACCCCTCAGTTTGCCACAGGCTCTCAAGATCTCAATAAGTACCAGCAAGGCTCTGTTAGACTTGTTGGATCCCCTCACTGAAGGAGTGCACAGACAGGGACACTTCACAAGAGTAACCATCAGCTTAAGTTTATATTTCAATATTCTTAAGGGGAATTTTTTTAGGGGGTCTATTATTACAAATATGATTCAACAGCAGAAAGAGGTTGCTATGTTTTGACAAATCGAATCCCATTTTTTTCCAAATGAAAATAATGGTATGATTTAATTATAACAATAAAAGAAGAAGCAGAATGCATGCTGATGGAAAACAAAACAAAAACAACCATGTCCTCCCCATACAAATAAACAAAGAAGAAAATCATTAAGGGGAAAGTAAAAAAAAAAAAAAAGCCACCTCCTACCTATTTTCTAGACTTAGCCTCACAACCTGTCCCCCGCCCCAATTCCGGTCTGGGACAGACTGTTAGGGAAAATACTGAGCTTCATTTGCTTGTGAGTGGAGGACACAGAAGTGGGCGCTCCGGCGTCTAGAAAAAGAAGCAATTTTTCAAAAGCTCCAGCAGAAATCAGGGAATGCTAAATACAAACTACAAAATATTATGACAGGATTGGTCTCGGGGATTGTTAAATAGGGGGACAAAAGAAAAGAAAGAAAGAAAGAAAAGTTCTGCGAGGGACAGAGTAGCCTGTGGCAGCGAAGGGGAAGAGGGGCAGGAGAAGAAAGGTGGCCCCGCCCACGTCCCCACCCCCACACTCCTGCCGCACTGCAGGTGCGAACCAGAGTTAGGAATCTGAGCTCACTGTGATGTAGCCCTTAAGAGAACCGGAGCCAAGAGAGAAGTCTCTTCTCCCAGTTGCGGTGTGGTCACCAGTTGTAGCCTGTAGTCCAGAGGAGGAGGAAGTGGTAGAAACTGACCCTGGTTGTGGCAGGTTGGTGGGCGCTGATTGGAATGGGGGTGGCGGAGGGTAAAGACCAAAGCAAGTCTGGTACCGGATTCTCTTGACCTCTTCCCCATACGCCCACCCGTTTTGGGGAAGAAACAGAGAGTTCCTGTGGAGGAAATCAGGAGCGTCCAGGGGTTGGGAATGGGTATCAGCTCGGATTTTCTAGGAGGAGGCGGGAACAGGCGGGCGG